GAGTTGAGATTAGGTTGTGTTGGGTTACACAAGAAAAGTATATGTAGCCACGAATTAGGAAATTGCAAAAAACTGGCTACGATTTGTGTGGAAGGAAACGGCCGAGAAAACTACGCTATTTTTAATCTTGAATGTTTACCACTCTTGGTGAGAGAATGGCTGCATCTATTGCCTTTTCATCCATATGTCTGTATTTTGGAGGACAGTGACTCAGAACCGGAGGTAGATGACGCAGAATTGCTGGATAGTGGTGATGAATACTTGCCACCGGATGCAGAGGTGTCAAGTGATGATGAGGAGGAAGAAAGGCCAACCAAAAAGCAGAAATTAGTGAAGATAAAGAAAGGTATTACGATCGAGAAGTACCCTGATGAGGAAGATATTTATGAAGATATTGCTCTTCAAGGTCCATCTCAGTGGTCCCAGGTTGACCTCAAAAATGATCCTTTGCCGGCATATGAACATGAAAAGCCTCTTGAAATTAGGTCTCCATATGAGTATTTTCGTATTTTCTGTACTCCAGACATGGTAGATAACATAGCATATCAAACAAATTTGTATGCCAAGCAAAAAACATAAATAATAATTTTGCAACAGATTCTGAATAGATCATGAGGTTCATAGGTATTTTGTTGTTCATGGGTATTGTTCCATTACCATCACTCGAAGACTATTGGAAAAGTGCATTTAGGATCCCCCAGGTTGCAGAAGCCATGGGGGTCTAAGAGGTTTAGGTTACTTAGACGTACTATTCATTTCAATGACAACACAGAAAATTATAATGACAGATTCCACAAAGTAAGGCCTCTTTACACTGCACTAACTAATGCTTGCTTGAGAGTTCCAGCTACAATCAAGCAATCTATTGATGAAGTCATACTTGGTTTCAAGGGTAAAACTGCTGGAAACCTAAGGCAGTACATCAAAACCAAACCAGATAAGTGGGGTTTCAAACTTTTTTGTCGTGCAAGTGAAGATGGAATCATACATGATATACTCATGTATCAAGGCACACCAACTTTTGACAGCCATCCCATAAAGCTTCCACAAGAAGAAACTAAACTTCCAATAAGTACAAAGATTGTTCTGGTACTTGCAGCAACTATGAACAAGACCAACACATCAGCAATTTATGCTGACAATTTCTTTTCAAGTCTACCTTTGGTCAAGCTACTAAGAGATAAGTATAACTGCAGATACACTGGAACAGTACGTGAAAATAGATGTGGTAAGCCAGATCTGATGCCTGTCAAACAAATGGAAAGGAACACTGTGGACAGGGGCACTTTTAGCTTCAAAAACAATGATGGTGTCCTTGTTGTAAGATGGAAGGACAACAGAGTTGTGACTTTAGTGACAAGTGATGTTGGGGTCAATCCCGTGAGTCTTGTTGAAAGATATAACAAGGCTACAAAGAACAAAAACCATTTACAGTGCCTGCAGTCATCAAGAACTATAATGCACACATGGGAGGTATTGACAAAAGTAACATGTTGGTGCATCTGTACAGAACACCAATGAAATCTAAACGTTGGTACTTGCGGCTGTTTGCTTATGTTCTTGATCTTGCTGTTGTGAATGCATGGCTTCTTTACTGCCGTGACTCTCGAGCACTAAATACCAAGTGTATGGCACTGAAGTATTTCAGGAATGATATCTCTGTCACTGCAAGGTCTAAAGGACAAAAGTTTAGAGGCAGCACCCTAAGAACATCTACAAGACCTTCACCAAGTAATTCACCATGTACTTCCAATGATGTCAGCATAGTGAAAGCTCTGCAGGGCCAACGTGCACAAAGGCCTGATGACAGTATTAGGCTTGACAGAACTCTAAACCACTTGCCACTGGCAGGGAAAAAGCAGCTTAGTTGCAAGTTTTGCAGCAACTCGAAGAAATTTGTCACATCCTCATTCCAGCGTTCTGTATGCAAAGTAAATCTGTGCATAAAGAGTAATAGAAATTGCTTCAGCGACTACCATACTATGAATTAGAAATATAGAATAATTGGTCTTCCTCATGAATCTCAGCAATATGGGACTTGAAAGTTTTATTCCTTTGCAATGTGTCCATGCTGCTATTTGTTTCATTTTTATATTTTTCTAATACATACAAACTGTTTTGATACAAGTTCCATTTATGTTTTTGATATTGTCTGTTTGTATAATAAATTTAAAAAATAGTTATTGGGTGTTTTATTAACTATTGCAAATTTGCAACATTCAGATTTATACTCCCTATGTCGCGCAAGGGCGGAAATTTTCGCCCTTCGGAGATTTGCAATTGCTTGAAAACTAACCATCAGAATTCCATTTATATGGGCTCATTGGCCTTATATTTACTCTATCCACTACAGGGAGTTCAGTTCGAATTTCTAATTTTATGGGCATTTGCCTCATAAAGGGTTAATTCCCCACTGCATTTCTCTCAAAATAGTTTTCCACTTTCATTTCCCCATTTTTCTATAGTCCCATTTTCTGCGTATCACTTCGCCCTTTAACTCTCTCCAGACCTGACTCAAGAAATCGTAATGACACGATTGCTAACGTGACGGGCTGGAGTTTTGAGACTCTATGACCGCGGGTTCAATCCCGGCCGGGGGTATGGTTTCTCTCCAGACCTATTTCCACCAGGTATACTGAATTCATGATCACTGACTACCAAGTACTTCACCACAGTTGATTTGTCTTAGTTTCTTTTGTCATTAGTTTTACTCTCTGCGTTTCCAGTCTTACTTAAATATCCCAGTGTCCTTGATTCGTCTTGTTGTGGGTTTATATGGTCTGATGTAGTTTTTTATTGATAGATATGGGTGTGAAGACTATGTAGGTGAACCTGAGAGAAAAATATATCCTGGGGTGGGACTGGAGATGATGTAGATGAAGAAACTGAGTTATAGATAGATGTATTGGGATATCTGGTTTTAATGAAGGGAATTTGCTAGAGGGCCAGAGGATGTTTATTACGGAACAAACTTGAATTAAGATTACAGTAACATAAATATAGCAACAGAACTGGACAAGAGTCTAACGCTCTGTTTATTCACATATGAAAGATTTTAACCTCCCAGTTGATTTTCAAAAGGCTGAGAAAGTTGTATCAAGCAGCTCCATATTTGAGAGAAATATAATCGAATCAAATTTCATAAAATATAGCATTGATTTTAATATGAATATTAGTTCAGGGCTATATAAATCAGATTCATTTATAATAGAATTTGTGAAGAATTTAAGCTATGCCTGATATGTGACCTTACCAACTCTTCACTACACTTCCAAGTTCAGGGTGCTGGTCCAGGTGTAATGTCATATCTGAGGTTATATCTCAGCCTTGTAAGCCTTGTCCTATCCTATTATACTTAGTTACCTGATTATGTGAGAAATCACGAAAGTGATTGGAATTTCTCTATTTCTTTCACTGTGGTTATATACAGAAGGGCCCCGCTTTACAGTCTTTCACTTTACAGAATTGGCTTTTAATTATAGGTCTTAAGCAGTGGTTTTTAATTTTACCAATTCCTCATTTATTCTGGCTTTTCACAATAAATATATTCTCCACTCACTTTAAACTAGAGGAAAATATCTTAAGGTAAGTAAAGTGTGTAGCGTGAACATGTTATCAGGTTTCTATGGAAGTTCTACTGTCTTCCATTCATGTCCTTGAAACGTCTACAATAAGGATACCCAGATGTTGCACATGTGTCTAATTTTCATCTTGTCGGTATTTTATACCATTCATGTACAACTTGTCAGACACTACAACATCATGAAATCTTGGTTCAGAGGACATCTACATAACCTTCTTCACGGCTACTACAACGACTACTACTGTCACTAACCCATACCTTGGGTATGATCTACTTCCACTGGGGAATCCCGCCTACCAGTGACCATGCCCTCATCTGTTACCCGTCCCTTTCCACCTGACGCCAGTATATAAGCGCCAGTCTTCTTGCCTCTTCTCCAGAATCTTCACGGCTCCGGTGCTCTTCAAACCAACTCCGAGGCTGAGGGACTGATTACCTCATATTTTGTATATAGTTCTACTGTCTTCTATTCATGTCCTTGAATTTGTATTGATAAAGTCACTGGATGGCGAAACGTCTACAATAAAGATACCGAGATATTGCACATGTGTCTAATTTTATTCTTCTCGTTATTGTAAACCATTCATGTACAATAATCATACAGTGTAATATTTAACGGCATCCTCATCGCCCTACTAAAGTTTCCCAGCTCAAGCTAATTAGTTTCGTCACTTCATGTATAAATGCATCTTGTGTTACGGAATATAACATAAAATTATAACTAAATATTTTTGTATCACAAAGTCGCTCTTGTACGGAACAACAAAGCTGCATACTTCGGGTGTTTCAACAGTGTAGCTCTTCACGGTTATATAATAATGAAGTTCATACAAAATCTTGGGATCACTTGGAGACTCTTAGGAATAACTATATTTTTTTAAAGGGGTGGGCAGGTAAGCCAGTTGAAAGCCTTTAACGGATCACCAAAAGCTCCAGCAGCTTCGAATCATCGTATGACTAAGTCCGGCGTCAGGAAACACTTGTTTTGTTTCCTGACAAACCTACCTAACCTAACCTGAAGACTCGTCAAACCTTTAGTCTCCCCAAAAATATAGTTTACCCATCTTATGCAGAGGATTATTTACATACCAACATTTCATCTATCATCCTAACCTACCCCAAATTTATTTTTTTCGTACAACTAAATATCTTAATTGTCCTATCCCAGCTAGGAATTTACAATCCTTCTGGATTAATACCGGCAATAATGAAGTAGAGACAGGTTCTAGATCAAGCATTTATTGGGTCAAACTTATTGAAACATAAGCAACTTGTACTGCAACGTGTCTATTTTAATTGCAGAATAAGCTTTTGTTGAGAAACTATTTTAGTAAAAGCTTTCTTTGCAGCTTGTGTCTTTGAGATTTTTAACGACGAATGAAATAACAAGCAACAATTCCTTTGGGTGTGCCTGCAGACGGAGAGGAGCAACGAGCAGCAGGTGGCGCTGAAGGGGGTCAACCTGGAGACTGCTGGCCGCTACAAGTGTGAGGTGCTGACGGAGGCGCCTCACTTCAAGACTCTCGTCCGCTCAGCCTCACTCACTGTCTACGGTATGTTCTTTGACAGGTGCTACCCTGGGAGTGCTCCTGGCAGGTGTAAGCCAGGAAATTCATCGCAAAGTGTTTTTACACATGTTCCTATGCTGCTGTCTCAGAATGTTCCTTGGCAGATGTTCCTTGGCAGGTGCTACTGAGAAAGTTTCCTTGGCAGACACTACTGAGGGAGTTTTCTTGACATGTGCTACTGAGAAAGTTTTCTTGACATGTGCTACTAAGAAAGTTTTCTCGACATAAGCTACTAAGGAAGTTTCTTGGCAGGTGCTACTGAGGGAGTGTTTTTGACAGGTACTACTGAGGAAGTTTTCTTCGCAGGTACTACTGAGGGAGTTTTTTTGACAGGTATTAATGAGGGAGTTATATTGGTAGACAGTACTGAGGAAGCTTTCTTAGGAGATGGTACTAAGGAAGCTTTCTTAGGAGATGGTACTAAGGAAGTTTTCTTCTCAGGCATTACTGAGATAGTTTTATTGGCATTACTACTGAGGAAATTTTCTTGACAGGTGCTACTCAAGGTTTTTGGCAGGTGTTACTGAAAGGACTCAGTGGCAGGTGTCCCTTTGCAGGTGTTCCTTCGTTGATGTTTCAAAGTGTTCCTTAGCAGGTGTTCTTTTGGAAGTGTTCCTTGGCAGGTATTCCTTGGCAGATGTTTCCTAGAAGGGGTTCCTTGAGAGTTCTACTAAAGTTCTTCAACTGGTGTTATTTAGCTTGTGTTTTTTACAGGTGTTCACTGGTATGTGTTCATTTAATAATGCTTCTTGACCGATGTTTTTTACTGATGTTCCTTGACAGGTGTTTCTTTGCAGGTATTCTTTGACTAGTGTATCTGAGTAAGGAAAGGTAGGTATTACTTGGCAGGTGTTTTCTCGCTGGTGTTTTTTGACAGGCGTTATTAATTATTCACTACTATTTGTTACCTGGCAGATATTTTTCATAGTATTTGTTTCATATCAGGTGTTCCTTGTCAGATATTCATTTGCTTGTGTTATTTAACAGATATTCCTTGGCAGGTGTTCCTTGTCTAGTGTTCTTTGAAAATCTGTTCATTAGCGTGTGTTACATAGCTTGTGTTTCTTGTCAGGTGCTCCTTGAGTGGTGCCTTTTATCCGGTATTTCTTGTTAAGTGTTCCTTAGCAAGTGTTCCTTAAAAGGTAACTTACAGAAAATGTTTTTTGATTGATATTTATTAGTAAGTTTTCAGGTGTTCCATGAAAGATGTTCCTTGGCAGGCGTTATTTCTTGGCAGGTGTTATTTCTTGGCAGGTGTTATTTTGTACTTGTTCCTTAGCTGGTGTTTATTTGATGGTGTTTCTTTGCAGGTGTCCCTTGGTTGGTGTTCCTTAGTAGTTGTTCCTTAGCTTGTGTTGTAGGCCAGGTTTTCCTAGGCTGAATTATTTTTGTTTTATGTTCCCTGGGATATGTTCCTTTTGCAGGTATTACTTAGGTGCTTCTTAGCAGGTATTCCATGGTAGCTTCCTTGGAAAGTGTTATTTACCTCGTGTTCCTTTGCTGGTGTTTCCTGGCAGGTGTTCTTTGTTAGTCCAACTCTTCAGTAAGTAATACCTGCAAAGGGATATATCCCAAGGAACATAAAACAAAAATAATTCAGCTAAGGAAAACCTGGCCTACAACACAAGCTAAGGAACAACTACTAAGGAACACCAACCAAGGGACACCTGCAAAGAAACACCATCAAATAAACACCAGCTAAGGATCAAGTACAAAATAACACCTGCCAAAAATAACACCTGCCAAGAAATACCAGTAACTAAACGCCTTGCCAAGGAACATCTTTCATGCAACACCTGAAAACTTGCTAATAGAACACTGTAAGAAGTTCTTTGGCAGGTGTTCTTTTGCAAGTCTTTTTACAAGTATTCCTGAACTGGTGTTCTTAAGCAAGTGTTTCTTTACAGGTATTCCTCACAAGGTATTCCTTGGCAGGTATTCGCTGGTATGAGATCATTCACAGCTGTTTATTAGAGTATGTTCATTTGCTGGTGCTCCTTTATGGAAGTGTTGCTTGGGAGATGCTACTTAGGAGGTGTTACATAGGTGTTACTTGAGGGGTGTTTCTTGGTCAATATTCCCATGCATGTGCTAGTTGGTTGGTGTTCCCTGGCCGGTATTTCTTGGTTATTACTTCTTGGTAAGTGTTCATTGGTCACAGTTCCTTTATCTGTATTCCTTAGCAGGTGTTTCCTGATTGGTATCTTGGTATTCCTTGACAGATGTTCCTTAGCACGTGTTTATTTGCAGGTGTTAGCACGTGTTTATTTGCAGGTGTTCCCTAACAAGTGATTACTGGCAGGTACAACCTGGCTATTGTTCCATGACTGGTATTCCTTCTCTGATTTTCCTTAGCTAATGTTTCTTGGCATGTGTGATATTTTGATAGTATTCTTTAAAGAATACAAGAAAGGCACAATACCGTGACTGGAACAATACAGGGATAACTGGACTGGAACAATACACAGATAACTGGACTTCAACAATACACAGATAACTGGACTGGAAGAATACACAAATAACTGGACTGGAACAATACACAGATAACTGGACTGGAACAATACACAGATATCTGGACTGGAAGAATACACAATAATTGGACTGGATCAATACACAGATAACTGGACTGGAACAATACAGAGATAAGTGGACTGGAACAGTACACAGACAACTGAACTGGAACAATACACAGACAATTGGACTGGAACAATACACAGATAACTGGACTGGAACAATACACAAATAACTAGACTGGAACTTATGACACGTTTCGGACCGACTTGGACTGAACTAGTCACATAGTGACTAGTTAATTAATAGTCCAAATCGGTTCATTTGTCGGGTTTTGTGTGTACAGGTATTCTTTAACTATTGTTGTTTGGCAGATGTTTCGTGGCTGGTTCTCAAGAACAGGTGTTACATGTCCGGTGTGTTTTAGCTTCTGTTCCTTGCCAGTTGTTCTTTAGCAGGTGTTCCTTGGCAAGAAGTGTTCATTGTCAGGTGTTCCCTGGCAAGTGTTCTTTGGTAGGTGATCCTCGGCAGGTGTTGCTTGGCAGATGTTTATTCTCACGTGTTGCTGATGGTGTCTTGCATGTTATTAAATGTAAGTAAAACATTTTTTCAAAAATTTTTCTTAACAATTACCGTAAATTACACATAAATGCCCCTACCCCCCATCCAGCCACTCCATCCTTCCACATCATCCATCCATTACCCCATCTTTACACGCCTCCCCATCCCTTCTTTCAACGCTTCCCCATACTTCAGTTCTTTCTTAAGACTCCTCTCCACCCTGGCACTCTTCTTTCTGTCCTTCCCCACCCCATCCTTCCTCCTTCCTTCATTTCCCTTCCACGTTCCTCCTACTTCCGTCGACCCAACCTCATCCCTCCTCCCCTCAACCTACCCCAGCTCCTTCCCTCTACCCCACCTCAGCTCCTTCCCTCTACTCCAGCTCCTTCCCTCTACCCCACCCCAGCTCTTTCCCTCTACCCCACCTCAGCTCCTTCCCTCTACACCAGCTCCTTCCCTCTACCCCACCCCAGCTCCTTCCCTCTACACCAGCTCCTTCCCTCTACCCACCCAGCTTCCTTCCTCTACCCCACTCCAGCTCTCCTTCCCTCTACCCCACCCCAGCTCTCCTTCCCTCTACCCACCCCAGCTCTCCTTCCCTTACCCCACCCCAGCTCTCCTTCCCTCTACCCCACTCCAGCTCTCCTTCCCTCTAACCCCACCCCAGCTCTCCTTCCCTCTACCCCACCCCAAGCTCTCCTTTCTCTACCCCACTCCAGCTCTCCTCCCTCTACCCCACCCCAGCTCTCCTTCCCTCTACCCCACCCAGCTCTCCTTCCCTTTACTCCACCCCAGCTCTCCATCCCTCTACCCCACCCCAGCTCCTTCCCTCTACCCCACCCCAGCTCTCCTTCCTTACTCCACCCCCAGCTCTCCATCCCTCTACGCCACCCAGCTCCTTCCCTCTACGCCACCCCAGCGCTCCTTCCCTCTACCTACCCCAGCTCCTTCCCTCTACCCCACCCCAGCTCTACATCCCTCTACCCCACCCCAGCTCCTTCCCTCTACGCCACCCCAGCTCCTTCCCTCTACCCCACCCCAGCTCCTTCCCTCTACGCCACCCCAGCTCCTTCCCTCTACGCCACCCCAGCTCCTTCCCTCTACCCCACCCCAGCTCTACATCCCTCTACCCCACCCCAGCTCCTTCCCTCTACGCCACCCCAGCTCCTTCCCTCTACCCCACCCAGCTCTACATCCCTCTACCCCACCCCAGCTCTCCTTCCCTCTACCAACCCCAGCTCCTTCCCTCTACGCCACCCCAACTCTCCTTCCCTCTACCCCACCCCAGCTCCTTCCCTCTACCCACCCCAGCTCACCTTCCCTCTACCCACTCCCAGCTCCTTCCCTCTACCCCACCCCAGCTCCTTCCCTCTACCCCACCCCAGCTCCTTCCCTCTACCCCACCCCAGCTCCTTCCCTCTACGCCACCCCAGCTCCTTCCCTCTACGCCACCCCAGCTCCTTCCCTCTACCCCACCCCAGCTCACATTCCCTCTACCCCACCCCAGCTCCTTCCCTCTACGCCACCCCAGCTCCTTCCCTCTACGCCACCCCAGCTCCTTCCCTCTACCCCACCCAGCTCTACTCCCTCTACCCCACCCCAGCTCCTTCCCTCTACCAAACCCCAGCTCCTTCCCTCTACGCCACCCCACTCTCCTTCCCTCTACCCCACCCCAGCTCCTTCCCTCTACCCCACCCCAGCTCACCTTCCCTCTACCCCACTTCCCAAGCTCCTTCCCTCTCTACCCTACCACTCCCAGCTCCTTCCCTCTACCCCACCCCAGCTCCTTCCCTCTACCCCACCCCCAGCTCCTTCCCTCTACCCCACCCCAGCTTTCCTTCCCTCTACCCCACCCCAGCTCCTTCCCTCTACCCCACCCCAGCTTCCTTCCCTCTACCCCACCCCAGCTCCTT